ATTCATTCAAATTTAAAAAAGTTATGGCAGTTATAGTAAAAAAAGTTAAAAAATATCGAACACTTTTGGAAGGATTTCTCTCATTTACGGAAAACCAGAAACATTTTATTGGTTGTTAATAGAAATGTCTTAGACTAGATATAGTTTGTGATCTATTGATCTATCGTTGAAAAAAATCGGTCTGAGAAAAAGTGGTGACAGACTTAAAAAAAAACACATTATAGTATAATTAATACCTTTGTAGATTCGTATCGATGCTAAAAAATCTTCTTCACTCAAATTAAAATTCTAATTTGCCCCTCGATTAACAAAAATAAATAGGAATACGAATGTTTTACTAATTTAATTAACAAAACATTTATAAAATTTTATCGTTTATCAATTAATTTCCTTATACATTTTTTTATGATATAAAAAATAGAGTTACGAATTTTCAAAATTCTATTTGTACATATACATTGTGGTTACATGAGCTATTTATATGTATAGCAATTAAACGGTAATTTCAAAACAAAACCATTTATATACATTGAGCAAATATACAGGGTGTTCAGTAAATAAGGAAACGAATTTCTATTGTACTCATTGTTTGTAACAATTTAACCGTTTCCTAACTTACTGAACACTCTGTATACATTCGGGTAACAATGGGATACCGCCTTATTACTACACGTACTAACACCATTAAAACAAATAATTTATATATTTCCCTACATACTGAGTTGAGCTTTTCTCTACCACATAATCTCTCACATGCATAAAACCATAAACGTGCATGTTGCGTAACTGGACTCGCATTATTACACGGCTAGGGCGCAATAATTCAAAGTATTGTTATTATGATTAGTTCAAAAACTGTATACTCACTTTATTTATAATTACATTTTTATATGACTATTATTCGTTTTTTCGTTTTCTAATGGTTTTTTAGTTTTCTAAATTTTTGTATAAACAAAAATGGAAATATTTATGCAAAAAATTAATTTATTCTTTTTCCGACTATTTAACTAGTAGAAATCGATCAAAGTGTACATTAAAGCTGTGAATTACTTTTATTTTTTGTAATTATTACAAAATTACTTAATTTTAATTTGTTTATTTTAAAGCTACTGAGATATTTTCGGTAGCTCTACGATACAGTTCAGGTGAGGAAAAAATCAAGCTTTGAATAAATAATAAAAAGCTATTAAAATAGCTCGAAAAATTACTGCTAGAGTTCGCTCAGGTGTTTATGACTGCTTATTTCTTTTTACAATTCCAGAATCTTTGTATAATCTATTGTATAATTTTAATATAAGATATATCACATATTCCTGGATTTACGACAAACTACTACTAATAATAAATTATTAATAGAAAATGTATAATTTTAAATGAAAAATGTAAAAAACTTAATTCATTTTTTGAAAATAAAATTATTTTAATTGAAAATCGTTAAAAATAGAAAAATTAGTTATTATTAAGCAAAACGGTTATTAAATACTTTTTAATTAATTTTGGACAAAAATAAATATATTTTGTATAATTCATCTTTTTAATTAAAAAATTTTTTTGTTAAATAAAAATCTATAAGTTTTGTATAAAAGTTTAGTTGTTTTAGTTTCGATTCAAAGCTAAGAAGATATTGGTTTTGTGATGTTGTGTTTATTATTATGTTTGTCAATGAAAATTATCAGTTCTTACTGGACCTATTTTAATGATCAATATGTAAAAAGAATACGATTTTAATATAGATAAACTTTCCAGAGCCAAAAAAATAAAAAATACCCCTTAATTTTAGAAATTTAAAATTTATCTAGTACTTTAATTTTTTTTAACCCGATTTTTGAAAATGTTCCGAAAAGTCTGCAACTTCTAAATGATATCAAACTAAATTTTTTAAAGTATACAATATTAAAAAAAAAAAAAAAACTAACATTTGTTCTACTAAGGCCATTAAGCAAAAAAAAAAATAAGCAAATTTATATTTGATTTTTAAAAATGTTTTAGAAGGTCTGACAATATCTAACAAATACTAAATTAAAGATTTTTAAGAGTACTTTATAATGAAAAAATAAAAACGTCTTGATTATTGTTCTACTAGTTAAATCGGCTATCAAAGCAAAAAAATAACATTTTTTTTATTGAAGCAAATAATTATAAAAATTTCGAGTGAAACTTTAAATCATAGAAATTGTAAAATTAATATATTATAATATTTAACAGATTTACGAATCGTACATCGAAACGCTTTTTATGATTGTGATTTTTATAATATCACTGTTAGATATCATCTATCCCACTGTGCATAGATTTTTAAATCGAATTATTATAAAACACAATGTTTAGCACTTATTATTTCAATTTTATTAAAATCGAAATTATATGACATATAGGCCATCAAAATTGGCCTAGTGGAAACCGAGTTTTTACATTAACAGACACTATAAAAAAGTTATCATGATAAAATCAATAGCTTCTCAGCTTTGCATTGAAGCCAAAAATATTATCTGGCTAAGTACTCGCTCAGTAGTCGCTAAAAATTTACGTAGAAAATTAGAAAAAGAAAAAAACAGATGAATAAAATAAAGATTTATATCTCCTAACACAATTTATTGAAAATTGCAGCAAAATCTGTTTTTTATCATATACAAAAACTGGCCAAGTATTACATAATACGAATAAAGAATAAATATTGCTCATAAAAGTGAGATTAAATTTTATTAATAAAAGAAATAGCAAACTTGTCCACAATTTAGACACCAATACTTTTTGAACTTTCTTTGTGGGAAAGGCGTTGAGACTTGACCAACTTTCACAGGGAAATTATTTTATTGTATTTTCTAAGAACTAAAAATTAAAAAATCTAATAAGGTATATCAATAGCTGCTATAAAAAGTATATTATGTATGTATGCTTTTTTCATACTAGTAAAAATAAACAAAAAATATAACGTAAATATATAAAAGCAATTCCTATGGGATTGCATACACATGCGTAAGGGAAAGAGTAGCCAAAAAGTTTTCCTTGTATGAGGCCATTAGTGAATCACACTAGGGATTCCTACAAATGACACTTCACCCTCAGAGTTACTGTTACAATGCCCATTTACATTTTTGTTGTATTTTCCACTTTATTATTGTATCGATTAATTTTTTTTTATTAAAAAAAATAGATTTCATAATCTATATTTTATACTAATTAATAATAATTACAAATAAGTATCAAATATGTATGCAATTTTTGCAGAGTTGAAAATTTTTATTAATAGTTCAAATGAACCAATTTTATTCTAATTGAACTAATATAATCATCAAATATTGGAAAAAAATCCCTTAATTTTAGAAATTTAGATAAATATAGTAAATAGAAAATTTGATAAAGATTTAAATAGCGATTTTGTTTAGATTGAATTACTGACAGGAACTTATATAATTACTATTAACGTAAATTTATAAAAAAAATCTTTATTTCATAAAATACACTTATTACATTTTTTGTATTTTATCGTAATAAGTCATTTTAATAGAAATATTAATAATTTCTACGTAACTCTTGGTGTTTAAATATATGTTATACTTGAAAAAGGTAAGCTTTTTGAAGTATTCATTGATATGATAATAGGTTTCAACTACAAAATTAAATAATTTTACTTGATATTTTTTAATTTTTTACACTGTTTGTGTATGCTACTACCGGTCTTAATATTCAAACAATTTTGGTAACATGTTACCTAAATTTAATTTTTAAAAAATTATTTTTGGTTACACCTGAATTTAACAATTCATTTTTTCAATTAAAATAAATTTTTAAAATACGCTCAATTGAGTAAGGTTTTTATAATAAATTTTGATTAGTCTTTTGGTAAAAGTTAATTAAAAAATTATTTAAATACTGAATATTTTATTTATAGAATCTTTTTAATACTAAGAGTTATTAATTTTTATTACGATAAAAATGAAAAACAAATAATGATTTTTTGCAATGGTTATTTTTACACATATCATCATTCATAATTACCAAAAAATTATTTCCTGAAAAATTTTGCATCGAGTACTTTAATTTTTATGTGCATTTGTCAGAAAAATAACGTAATATATAATTACTTTATGATTTTTTATAATTTTTACGTAAATATTACAATTTTAAATTATTGAATAGCAATTTTACAATTCATATATTATACTTATAAATCATAGAGGTACTACTAATCAGAATATAATTAAGGAAATAGAAGTTGCTATTCAAATAATCCATCAATTTCTTAAAATTAAACTCTATTTATAGTTTTGCATTGAAGCGTTTTTTATGATAGTGATTTTAATCACTTTTAAAATACTTTAGAGGTTAAAATAATTAACCATGAGAGTCTACATATATAATGAAAAATAATATGGTTGTTATTACATTAAGACACCCATGTTTGCTCAATTGCTTTAATATTTTTTAAATTTAATTAATGAAAAATAAAAACAGAGATGGGTTTGGTTGGATTTTTTGGTCGAATACCCCCTAATCCGCCCTTGAATGTAAACGTATGTGTTTTAAAATTTTCCATTAAAGTCAAGCATCACCAAAATTGCTCAACTTTGATGCAAAAAAGTCAAAATTTTAAGTAATAATGTTGGTGTTAACTTATGGTGTGTTCAGTAACTGTACCAATTACTCTAAATACAATATATTAACCAGTAGTTTAATTAGAAAATGTGAAACCCAACCCAACCAATCTTAAACATACCCTCGATTTTTTTTTAGCTTCCATGCAAAGCTNAATGTTGGTGTTAACTTATGGTGTGTTCAGTAACTGTACCAATTACTCTAAATACAATATATTAACTAGTAGTTTAATTAGAAAATGTGAAACCCAACCCAACCAATCTTAAACATACCCTCGATTTTTTTTTAGCTTCCATGCAAAGCTGAGAAGTTATTTAAATTTTACATTTAAAGTTTTTTTTTTTTGTGAAACTTAAACAAACTATTCACATTTAAAACACTGAAATATATTGAACAATACTTACAAAAAAATCCATATACACGATTTAAGCACATACATTTTTAATTTAACAATAAATAAAAATACATAATATTTCTCATGTAAAATTTATGAATTAGAGTTGCAAAAATAACATTTTAATTGTAATGAGGTTAATTGAAACAATACACTATGGTCAATTTAATACAGCACAACATCAACATACTGATAAAAGATAACAAATGGCGTGCACCCTAAGCAACGTCACGGCACAAACTGCGTGCTTGCCTGCGCCCCGCGATTTTCGTTCTAGAAAAAAAATCTTAATATAGGGGTTGTTGTGTTCCGATAGCAACGGTAGCAGCAGTAAGTTATTACCACTAGTCCACGTAACACCCGCGTGTAATCTAAATTATAATTTCTAACTTAAATAAAAAAAGGTGGTGCACTAACTCGTTTAGTTAACGAAATATTTTTATTTAACTATTTAGCTGATATACCGACGCCCCAGTTCAAAACTGCAACTACTCGAAAAATCAAATTTTCCTGTATAATAAATTTAAAAGAATGTTTACATACCTCCAATGTAAAATTTAATTAAAAAAATGTACTCTATTATAAAATCAATTAATATTGATTTAGATTTATAAACTTTAAATTTTAAATAATAAATTACAACTTAGAGATCAAAACTCAACATCTAAATTTTTTGAGTTGTTGCAGTTTTAAACTGGAGCGTCGGTTTACGGTAAATTAGGTGGTCAAACATGTTCTGACAATTCTAATAATTTTAATCCAGATTATATTTGGATTACTTTTTTTTTAATAATTGTTATACGACAGAGCTATAAAAATTTTATAATAAATAATATTTTTTTAATTCATTGAAGAAAATTTCAAGATAGTCATTTTATAAAATAGATTTTAAGAAAAAATTCGGCAAAAAAATATCTTATTTATTTTAAGTAGTAAATTTTGTGTAGCATTTGAATTTTCAAGTATTCTTTTTACAATTTCAAACAAATATGAATTGAAAATAGTATAGAAGAAAACGTAATATTTTCACGTTAAGTAAAGGTTATAGGTGTAAAAATTGTACAAAATTCCTTACATATTTATTTTTATACTTCATAATATTAGCCCATAGTTGTATTCAACTGCACTTAGTTACAATGTTGCTTGTCTAAAAATGTACATTGATAAATATTATATAAATTATTAGTAATTAGTATAAAAATTAATAGTCCAATACTCGTGAATGCGATCACCGGCACACAAAATATTAACAATTATTATATTGTTTCTCAATAAAGACTTATTTTCTGTTTAACTATTTGATGTTGTCTTTCATATTACACACAACAAATTGGCGATGAGGAAAACGTTCCTTAGGTCATTCTATATTTAAATATGTGATTGTAATGACTATTAATTATAAATCAAGTTGGAATGGATTACCGTTTTTGAGTCAAGTTGACAAATTTATTTTTGGCGAATAAAATCGAAAATGAAGTATATAAGAAAGCCACATTGCTATCTTCTGTCAGTAAAGAAATTCATACGTTTTATATAGCTTATGTGTAACTAACACACCAGCTTCAAACATGCAATACATTGATAAACCTTTTAAATTAATACTATAAACCGGTTAAATCATATTTCGCGTTTAGCTATATATTTTATCTGTCAAAACAACGTACTGATGAAACAGTGACAGAATGGGGTGCTCGTGTTAAAAATCTTGGATTATAAAACAAATTGTCGTTAAAATTAATCCCTGTTATACGGAATATATTTGTAGTAAGAATGAGTGCTGTCAAAATACAAGGGCAACTAATAAAAAAAAATGCATTTGATCTAAAAACTATGTACACAAATCTCATGGACATAGCGACTACTAAGGAAACTACCATGAGAGAAAAAAAATTCTTCGAAACAGATGAACATTTTGACATTTATTTTAAAAATGTAATAATAACTAAATATTATTATTTATTAATCAAACTTATTTTGACTAACTTTTATAACAGCAAGAAAAATATAATTAAACAACATTGATACATTATGAAATATTTGAAAAATAGTAAATAAAATTCTTAAAGTATAATAAAAATGAGATATAATATGCATTATAAAGTATAACAAAATGAAATATAATATGCATTATTTTTATAATTTATTAATAGGAGTAATTTTACAAATATTAAAAACTTTCACTTTATACTCATTTACTTCTCAAAATAAGTATTTAAAATCAAAACTTAGAAAGTTTAGGTAAAATAAGTACTAGTTCTTAATCAAATTAATTATTATAAAATCGGAACAAAATCATGACATGGTTTATTTTTTAAAGCAAACTTTATCGTTTATGTTTAAGTTCATAATTTTTTTTTAATATTTTCACATTTTTTATGATTTAAAATAAAAATATTTTATATAATTAAATAGTATTTAATCATATTACTATATTTCTTGTATATTTAAGTTTAATATACAACATTTATTTTTGATAATAAAGCGTCAGATTTATAATTACAACATTGACTATTATCTATTTTTAAAAATATCGTAGTCAAACAGTACTTAAAAATGTAAACATCATCACATGGTATCATAGGTTGCCTAAATTTCTTAAAATATTATCATTAACATTGTAACTGATATATATATATATATATTTTTTTTCATTGACTTTGCACATTTATAATAATAATAATAATTTATTAACATCCATAAGGGTAAATAAGGCATATTACAATAAAATTTTGTAGAAATTACAATACGTATTTATTTTTGAAGAATACAACATTTTTATGTATATCATTAATTATAATTTTGTACATTATACATTTATTACAAATATGATAATTTTAGTTAACAAAAAAACATTTATGTCTAAGTTTAGACTCATTATCATAGTCAAAATTTATATTAATAATAATGCAACTTCGTTCGACTTAAAGATTTGTTAAAACCATATGATATACTGTTGCATGACATGTGGAATGAAGATTTGGTAAGGAATGATGATATGTGTTACCTTAATTGATTTAAAAACTGAAGTAATAAAACTTTTTATAAAAAGAAGGAAAAATACCCTTCTTAAAGAGTATTTATAAAGGTCTATGAATCTTGGTACTAATATTTTCATCAATATTATAATATATTAATAACGATTTTACTTGCAAATGATTTTTAACTTCAAAAAAAAAATTTTTTCACAATGATTTTGGAGGAAAATTAAAAGAATGATCATGTAACTGCTTTTCACTTATAGTAAGATACCGATGATTGGATCATCGTAACTAGTTTTGGTTGTAGAAATGAATTAAAGCCCAAAAGAAAGCGATTTTTCAATTTAAAATGAACTCGTTAATTTTTAGTTTTTACCCATTAAATAGTTAAGTTTATTTAGTTCCTATTATACTTTAATAAAACAAAATAATATTAATTTTTAGACAAAAATTATTGTCTTTTATTATTTGATAATACATTTTCTAAGTCAATGCGGTCCTGGAATATTATTTTCCCGAAAACTATTAATTGAAAATATATTTTACTGATTAATATTTTCCTTATCAATGTCTATCAGAGTAGATAAAGTTTTGAAAAATAATATTCCTATCATTTATGATTCCTTTTAAATAACGATCTTTAAAATATCATTCCTTTAGATATTGTTCCATGATAAACTATTCCGTATAATTTACATTCTGATAAGTATTTTCTTGATTCGTACAGCTCTCCGACAGTTATATTTTGGGTTGTTCTACGCGATCCTAATAATAGTTAATTTATTCTGTTGTTCAATTTAAACAGTATTTTTTATCTTTTATCAAAAATGTAAACTGCAATTGTTCATTATTTACGATAATTAATAAACGCAATTCATTAAAAAACAGAACAAATAAACCTATTATTCTGAAATTATAATTACCATTATTTATTAATTCTGTGTAACATTGATTGTGTTACATTCAAAAATGGAAAAAAAAATAATATGTATACCTGGTAAGACCTTTTATATGTTTCTTGTAATAGAACTGAAGATAATAAAACATATAATTATTATTTAAATACTTTGTAACACCCAAGTTTATTATATCATAAATTATTTTACTATTTTTGAACGAAATAGGTCAACGTTTATGTCGACTAGATCCATCTTATACTTTGGGAAAAGGAACATACAAAAGACAAGAATATATCTTTTCTAGTTTAGCAGGAATTGTGAACATCGATAAAAGGGAGAATGTAAAGTTACTAACTATTTATTACTCAAAAAAAAATAAAATAAAAATATATTTAAACAACTTTCAGATATCTGTCATAGAAGTTCTAAGTAAAGATCAAACAATTGTTCCAGCACCAGGCAATATTGTTACAGCAATGGTTCGTAAGAATTCAATTAAAAATATACTGATAATTTAATTCAGTTTAATTTCTTTATATATTAATACATTTTAAATTCATAAAATTTTTTTACTAAATTACTGTATTTATGGAAATTGATAACTCTTCAATTGAGTATTACTTATATCAGTGATAAATACAAAATTTTGTTATTTAAAAATCTTAAACAATGCTATTTTAAGGTAATAAATTCAATATTTTGTATAGCTATCTCAATTATAGATAGCTATTGTACATGTAGAACTGTAGTAAGGGGGAAGGCGAAAAATTAAGAAATTATAATTATATTTTAATAATATAGAAAACTTATCTAATAACAAAAATAAAACGAAATAATGTATTACTCTATTATTAGGACAAGTTATAAAAAATAATTTTATTGTTGAAATAAATAACGACGTATCATCCTATTAAATTGTGTTTTTGGTCAAATTTATCATCATTACATAGTTTTAAAATGTATGAATATAAAATATCTTAATAATAAAACACAATTTTATACTTAAAAACAGCTAACTAAAACTGGAAACTTACATAGAAAAAGTAGACATTTTCAACATAACTTTTAAAAATGTTCAGGAAGTCCTGCATCCTTTAAATATCTATTAAATAAAAAATAATATAATATACTACAAGTTAAAAAAAACAAAATTTCTTCATTAACTTATTCTCTACACTGAAATTTTTAAAGCTAGCTTGAATAATACTTTACATTATTGGTTTTTGTATATTAGTTAGTGATAGTTTAGTTCAATGATAATCCTATGACATTACGTTACCATTTTTCTATGTACAAAATATTACTTTTAATTTTTATTGTCAAAACTAAAATTAAAAATCTCATCATTTATTTTTCTATTTTTTAGATAACCACACTAAATCAAGATATGTGTAAATGTTTAATTACGAGTGTTAGTGGACACGAGTTAAATGAAACATATAGAGGAAGTATAAGAAAACAGGATGTTCGGACAAAAGAAATAGATAAAATTGAAATGTTACAATGTTTTAGACCAGGAGACATAATTTTAGCTAAAATTGTAAGTCAGTTTGTTTTTTTTTTCAGGGAAACTAAGAGAGTTTTAAATGTGTGTTAATACAGTTTTTATAAATGTTCCTAGAGTAAATGATTTGTTACAAACTTCATCCTATTTTATGTATACTTACTATTCTAATGTAAAATAAGAATTAATTAGTGTAGTTAAATTAATTTTTGACATTTTTTATCAACATTTTTCTTATCATAGCTTCCAATGACTGAAGCCCACACTTTCAAATTAACTACAGCTGAAAATGAACTTGGTGTAGTTATAGCATGTAGTGAATACGGTAAGTTATTCTGTTTTATTTGTCTTATTCTAAAAATACTATGCAATATTATTTTTAGGACATCCAATGATTCCTTTAAGTTGGACTGAAATGCAGTGTACAAAAACGGGTACTGTAGAATGTCGTAAAGTTGCTAAAATTGTTCAAGAAAATTTCAAAGGATCGTTCTGAAAAATCTTTATCATATATGTATACCAATATTTTTTTTTTTATAGAATACTGACAAATAAAAACAAATATTTGAAAAGAAAAATTTTAACAAAGTTTATTACATTTTATTCCATCACTACATGGTGAAATAAAACAAGTATACGTCAAGATACTGGAGTTTTAATTTGATTTAATTTTTTTATTTGAGCAAGTTTATAAAACTCTTGTAGTTCTTCTTCAAAAGTAACTTGCTCAGGACTTTGCGTTTTTACCACTGCAGGAGGTTGATTATAACTGTACCAATCAGTTAACCACTCGTCATCTAAATATTAAATTGAAAAAAAAATTATACATAAATTTTTTTTTTTATCGATCAAATGAAACATAAAACCTACTCAGTCAATAACATCTTAGAGTATATTATAGAGATATAATTTTATTTTTGTTGGGCCTCCCTATTTTCTCTATTTTAAGCATTGCTTTTCAGATAGAAAAATAATATATATAAAGAATAGAACAAATCTAACTAACAATTCTTATAACTGTTAAATTTTTTTTTTTTAACAATTTTTGTATTCTTACACTAGGTTAAAAACATTTTTTTTATTATTAGTTTTTAATAATAAAAAATACTTTTTTTTAATTTTTCAATTTATAAAGCTTTACTTATAAATGTGATGGATTGATAACAACTTTAAGATATGTACATATTGGGTTACAAACAATTTAATAAGTACTTATCGTAAAGTTGTTAATAAAAAATCTCATAAAAGGCTATTTCAAAATTTTGAAAATAAAAAAAATAGTTTATATTTTTCTTATAGTATTAAATAAAAATAAAAAAACAGCACAATGCTTAGATGGATGAGTGGAGTGATTAGAGAAGACAGGATAAGGAACGAATTTATAAGAGGGAGTATAGGTGTAGCGTCGTGGATAAGATGAGAGAAAATAGACTTTGATGGTTTGGTCATGTTAGTTATGAGAAGAGATGAATTGGAAGCTGTAAAATCAGTTATGGAACTTAATGTTGAAGAAAGAAAAGGTAGACGAAGACAAAAAAAGAAATGGAAGGATATTATTGAATGTGATATGAAGACAGCTGATGTAAACGTAGATGAGGTGGGAGGTCATGTCAAGTGGAAGTTTAAGATAAGGGTGGACAACCCCAAGTAGTTAGGATTAAGGCGAAGAAAAAAAAAGAACAATATATATTTTTTTACTTCAAACACTGATTTCTCATAGAAGAAAAGTCTATTTATTTAAAAGCTTTAATTTGGTATAAGTTAGAAGTTGTAAATCTTTTTGAAGAATTTTTAAAAAACAAATTGAAAAGATTTTTTTTACATTACATTTTTATAAAAAAAAAACAAACCAAAAGAAAGTTTATCATCTCTAGTATATATTATTAGAATTTCATTGAGATCAGAGCTTTCAAAAAAGTTATAGCAGTTTTAAAATGGAATGTTTTTTTAATTTTTACAAATGTCATTTTTTTAGGTGGGGTATTTTAAGTTTTTTTTAATTTCCGAAATTGAGGGGTAACTTCAATTTTTTGGCATTGTAAGGTTCATCTACATTAAAATTGGGTTCTTTTGGCATATTAAACATTAAAATCGGTCCAATTAAAGTTGATAGATTAATATGGACAAACATAAAAAAAAACTCTCACCATTATAATGTTTTAAAAATTAATGAATTTCAACAAAATTCTACTTATATTAAAAGTTATAAGTAGTTAATAGTTAGGTCTGCGACGCCACTCAGTATTTACAGGGTGAATCGTTTATCATAAGCCACTCGAGTATTCTCAAAATAAATACAATGTTAAAAAAAAATATTTTTTATTTCTTTAGTTGCATATAATTTTTCATTTATCAGCTAATAAGTCCCCTAAAACTTAATGGATTTCAGCTTTTTTTTTTTTTTGAAATGGGAAAATACACATTTGACGAGCTTAAAAACAGAATATAACTGGTCTATAACAACTTTAGGACCAGTACTTTTGAAGTTGCTCTCATTTTTATATCTAGCCGAGAAGAAGAATATGGTCGGGAATTGACTAATGATAAAATTAGCAGCGCCCAATTCTCATCTCTTCCAGTCATAACTAAAATTGTTAATAACTTCTAAGATACTGATTTAATAGTTGTTATTAACCAATTCTGTTCTAAATTATATCATCTATTTTATAAGCTAGTTAAATATGTATGTTGCCATTTAAATATATAAAGTTTGTAATCCTTTAAAAGGGATAATTCTAAAAAGCAGTTATTAGTTAATAATTGAAGAAATATAAAAACAATTTAAACTAAATAAACTTTTGATCGAATAAATATTTTATGTGACTTTTTTTAATAATTTATGCACTTTAAGACTACATGATACTGTAATGGTAAAAATAACAAGTAGTTGAGATAAAATTTATCTTTAAAATTATAGTATGCAAAATGAGCTTTTATTTAACATATGTTTAAAGAACGAAATTATTTTGAGAAAATTTTAAAACAATTAACTTTTTGTGCAAAAATTACTATTTAGAATCTCCCCAATTGACAGGTTTAAATCGTTCAAAAATTTTATACCAAATGAAAAATAAATACCTAAATTATTTATAGAAAAAATTGATTTGGTTCATTCATTTTTCAAAAAGTTACAACAGTTTAAAAAAAAAGATTTAAAAAAAAGTCAACATTTATCAATTTAAATAATTGTAATTTTTTTGGAGATTTCACTCATTTACAAAAGACATGGACATTTTTACAATTTTTAAGGAAAATGTCATCAACTACATATGCTTCTTCTTCTTTTAAATCATTGTTAAAAAAAAATTGTTGAGAGTTAAGTTATAAGTAGTAACAGACGTGCACAAAAAAATAATAATAAACGCATAACAATAAAGTTTATACATTCTTAGCATTGCATTGAAGCTAAAATAACAAAAAAAAATTAAACAGTTACTTTTTGGACTTTTTTCTTACAAAAATTGTTAGTGAATAACAACAATTTTAGGACGAGTATTTATTGAGTTATTAGCATTTTAATACACAAAGTGACTATGTAGTACTGATAAGTATAGCTCGTACTGGTGTATATTTATAATGCTTAATCTACTCGTACTATATACTCACCTATATATTAAAATGCTAGTAATTTATTAAATACTAAACTTAAAATCATTGTAAGAAAATTTTAAAAAATGGCTATTTTGAAAAAAATAGTTTTATATTTATTATTTAAAAGAAGTAATAAAAGTTCTAACATAATCTAAGAATGCATAAATTAAAAAAAAAAATAACGCAAAATATTTAGTAGATCAAAATTTAGACATATTATATATAGTTATTTGTAGTTGGTGAGTTTTGACAAGAATTCAATAATATAAATATACTCACCTAGATCATAATAAGGTGTTTGGGTTTGTTTGCGTTCACCAAATCTAATATCAAGTTGAACTTGATTTTGATCATCATTTCCATGGTTAATTGCTCTTTCAGCTTCAGACTTTTCAGAGTATGTTACAAAAGCATAATATACACGAAAACTAAAATAATTTTGAACAAAATTTTAAATAAAAATATAATTGAAATAGACTCAGATAATTACTCAGGTTTTTTGTGTAATGTAAGAGATTGTATTGTTCCAAATTCTTTAAAACGATTGTACAAGTAACGTTTGCCATATTTTATCGGTATTTGTCCAACATATACGACTCTTTTCTGTTCTTTTGGTCTATATAATTATTGTATTCAATAATTGTATATATTCTTACATCGTAAATTTGTAACACTTAATACAAATTTGCATTACCTTTGATTAGTACTACGCATATTTTGACTATACTGTCCACTTAAAGGCAAATCTACTCTACTACGGTAATATTCCTCAGAATTGGAAAGTATTGAAGACGTTCGGCTATTTTTATTACAATAATCAGACCTACAAGAAAATGTATATAATAAGTTTTTTCAACTAATATTTATTAATAAAATTCAAACCTAGATGAATTACGAAGATATGATGTGTAAGATCTAGATTGATAATTTTTTTTGGTAATTTTTTCATCTTTTTTTAAATGTAAAGGATCATCATTTTTTATATGAGATTTATCATTTGAATCATTTGAATTTACTATAAAATTTAAGTAAAATACAATTAATTTAAAAAATATATAAAAAGTATAGAATTGATTACCTTTAATGTCTTTGTTCTCCACTTCACTTCCCTTTAAAAATCTTGATGTTTTAGCAATTTCTGAAGCTAAACACAACATGAGAATAATAAAATTAAATAAAATTAAAAACATTTTTTTTTTTTACCAAATGAAGATGGAAGCAACTTTTTTATATATTCAATTTTCATTCTCTTTTTTTGAAGTTCATCATCTTCATCACTTCTAACTCTCACATGAGGTTTTTGTTTTTCTATGTTTTCCATTTTTCTTTTTTGACCAATAAAGTGTTCAGCAGTATTACGATCAAACTCTCTTTTAATAGCTTCTAACTTGTGATTATCTGTTGTTACATTAGCATCTAATTCTTCATTAATTTCTAAAATTATTATGACATAAGTGAACTATGTTTTAATGGGGAGGGGTCTAGGTATTTAATGAAAATCACCTATAGGTTTTATTAAGTCTTTTCCTCTTTTAGCTCTAAATTCCTCCCAAGAAATTTTTTTTTTTTCAGTTTCTAAAATCATTTCTTTCTTTATATCATTAGCAGAAGAAAACTTTAGAGTACTTTCAACAGGAACATTTTCAGTTTTTATAATAACTTCTTCTTTTACAATAGTAGTAACATTGTCTTCTGAACTTTGTGATTCTGTAGATACTCCAGTCCAATAATTTTGTTGTACATCTGACTCAAGTTTAGAGGGATTTTCTACATTGAGACTGTGAGTGTTCATTTTCATTGCATAATTATTTTGTTCGACTATTTCTTCAACTGGCTCAGTTTTTACTTCACATTTTAATTTAGATGTTTCAACTTTTAAAGAAATATTTTTTGGTAAAATTAAATTAGTCTCATGGAATGGATTGTGAAGTAAGCTATGGACATCATCAGAATTAATATCAGGTTTTATTGCAGTTCTATTAATGCCTAGCTTTGAATTCACAAAATTAGGTGCATTTATGGACAAAGGAGTATTAGTTTTAGTATTTTTTATTCTATTTCCATTATTATACACTTCATCTAGGGAATTTTCAGCTGAATAACATTGCGTTAAAGATTCTTCTTTTTCAATTTTAATAGTAAGTTTACAGTCTTTATTGTCTAAAAAAATTATTAACACAAAAACTTTAAGTAATTATCAAACAATAATTATTTTAATAAGCCTGAAAATTAATTAAAACATTTTGAAGTTGATATTCAGTAAAAAAAACATGAAAAATTTATTTGTTAATATAGTTCATTATTTAAGAATTAAATTCAAATATTAATTAAGTAATAAAAATGGGGTATAATGTGGAACAGTGGACAATTTATATGCTGTCATGCTCTAAAAGTTTATTGCTTTTATCAATTGAATGAATTGGGTTTGTGACACAATTTACTATAGTTTATCAACTTAATTTTTGAAAATTAATGAAAGATTAAATTATATAAAATGAAACCATATTGAGACAAAATCCTACCAAAAATATTAATTCAATATTATTCCATCAAAATCACTAAGTTTAATAGAAACTTGTCCTAAACATAACTATTCATTGCCATGATTATGATTTAACATAACAACTAGTGGTGTTTTAATAAAATAAGTACAAAGTATATAAGAAGACTCTTTTAACGCTAGCCACTTAATTACTCTTAAAGCATTAAGTTTTTTGAAAATATTTTTTTCAGTCTATGTTAGTAACATATGTATTTCCATTTATCTATCCTAAAATAATTTCTAGTTTCTTCCCTTAAATCTTATAACGGTGTTAACTTTATTTTTTTAGTGGCAACTTACATATTAATATAATTTATGAAATAAAAAATTACTGGTTGATAACAACTTTTGGACAAATACTTCAGAAGTTACTTATTTTCATACCTACACAAGAAGAAGAGTACGACTAGGAAATAACTAGTGATAAAATAGCAGCACCCACTCCTCACTTCTAGTCATTACTTTAAATTGTTAATAACTTCTGAAATACTGGTTCAAAAATTGTTATCAACTAAAACGTCATTTTTTATTTTATAAGCTTATTTTTTTTAATGGTAACAATATTGCCATTTAAAAAAATGAAGTTCACACCCCTATAAGATATAAGGAATGAACCTGAAAATTATTATATAACAGCTCAATGGAAATACATGTGAAACTAACAAAAACCCAGATCTTTTTTATCAAAAGACCTTGTATTTTAAGAGAAATTGTGTGGATAGAGTAAAAAGAATCACTCTGTACAATGTACATTTAGCAAATTTGTACAATGTATATGACATTTTATACAGAGTAAACACTTGTTCTAATATTATAGGCTATATACCCTTCAAAACACCATGTATTAAATTAAAATTAATTAATCATTACCATTGGTACTAAATAGTTCTTGATCAAAAAGTTCTGAAAAGCTCATGTTTTGGCAGTCTTCTGGAAGTTCAAAACCAGTATTATATCTTGAAACTCTGTTCACATAAATGTTTTAATTAAAGTTAATAATTATATTAATTATATCACTTTCAACAGTAAAGCAGTTTTGTTTTTCATTAGAAGAGATATTTTTTTAGAAATATTATTAAATTAGAGGAGAATAACACATTGATACTTTAATAATAATAGCTTGTAAATACAATTTTTTAAAAATTACTATTGAAGTAAATAAGAGATTTAGTGTATGTAATTATTATGTATGATATCATCACATAAATACAATTTTTCTTTTAGTTTTGTTACTAATATTTTTTTTAAAGATAAGACAATAAATATATTTTTTAAATTAAAACAGTACAAATGAAATGTATATGTAATATAATTAATCAATTTTTTGTCCCTCCTGAAAAATGTTTAAAAAGTAATTACATTCCAATTCTACTAAAGTACCAAAATGATGGGATAGACGTTTAATATGGGACATTTCAAAATCTCTAAGAAGACATACATATAGATGATTATGAAAATAAATTAATGTATATACTTAAAATTGTTTGTTAACAAAAACTATTATTATATTTGGGCAATTTCTTCTATTAAAATAGAAAAAGAAAAAATTAATAATTATATAAAATGATGCAATCATAATTTAAGAAGATATCGTCTTTATTATTATAAAATAAACTATAAATTTTACATGAAGCTTTATAGACTGAGAATTCTAAATTATATAATTCATCATAAATAAACCCATTGGCAGATAAAAAATTTAAAACATTTTTTTTGTTATTATATATAGGGCTCTAGACATTACATGTTTATAAAATTTGTTTTAATCATTCTAAGTACATCACTGATAAATAGATATTCATATTCAATTAAACTGATGTATACTACGGAGAAGGTTGAGTACAGTGCACTATTAATGTCTTCTGCGATAGGAACATGATGCTTTTTACGAAAATGGTCATACATCTGTATGAAAATGGAAAGACAAATGGAAGAGACGGGATAAAAATGGTTTTGTAGCTATTAATAGGTTGAAAAGGAAGATAAAACTTATTAAATAAATTTTACTTACGAAGAATAGTATGAGTCAAAAATATAATCTAAGTTAACTTGGTTGGTAAGCTCATTCATCTAGAAGAAAAAAAAAAGTTATCAATATATACAAAGAGAGGATTTATATGCATTTATAAATATTGTTAAGTTATTCCAAACATAATCAACCAGTACAAATTTGTATTGGATTAAAAGTTTAGTATTATGATCTAACTAAGGTCATTTTATTTAAGGTGATTAGGGGATACATTCACTTTTAAAACAAAAAAATATACTATGCTACTGTATATTCCAATAATAAATTTTCACAAACTTGTGTCCCTTTCAAATGGCTAAAAAAAAATTATAAATGCATATAAATTCGCTCTCTAAAATAGGTATAAAGTGATTCAATCTAACACAATAAAACAAATAACTTCAAACAAATCAATTAGTTTTTGTTCATTTTTTTTGTTTAGATAAAGTAGACGTTTCATCTTAAAAATGTTTATATCAGTTTTTTTAATTTTAAAAAAGTTGACATTGTTTAAACTTAAAAAAAAAATTGATTGATGAATAATTAATTTTGGATAGAAATTTAAATTTAAGAGTATGTATGACAAACATTTAATGTAGTACATAATATTAAGCAATGGCTAACAAGGTTACCTATAACTTTTTCAAGTAAAAAATAAAAATAAATAATGATAAAATTTGAAATTACTTATATATCAATAATCATTAAAAAAAAATATTAAATAAAAACGAGTTAATTCATTAGAAGTTTTTGACTTGTTATAATATATTTAATTATTCTGTAAGTAAGTTTATTATTAAATCAATATTTAAATCAATAACAACCTCAGCCATGTCATACGTAGTAGGTTGGTCACTAAATGAAAAACAATCTTTAGAAGAGGACCTATAAAAAAAAAGACCCATTTACTGACATAAAATTACCTATAAATTTTTAAATTGAGACTTACTCAAAAAAGTCTGAATACATATTGTTGTAAAAACAGAAAGTATAATTATCTTGCAAGTACTTTTAATTAATACCTATATTATAATTATAGATATATAATAAATTTATGCATTAATATATCTATACAAATTGTTTGAATACAAAAAAAAACTGACACTACCATAAATTAATTTATAAAAAAAGGCATTTGTTATATATCTTTTAAAAATAAACACTTCAAACAATAATTGATATCTCACAACTTTTTTTAACGCAGACTTACCCTAACCTTAGTCTTTAAGGCTATGTAGTGATACGACTGACAGATTCAATCGAATCGAAAACAGATACAATTTGTTATTAATTCCAAAGTTTTGTTTTTTTAATGGATATTTAATGTTTAGCACAATTACACATTTCACGGCTTATCGCTTTCGGGTTGCTGTTGATGGCGCGCTTCTAATGTTCAAATAATATTGAGGCACAAATATTTTGGAACAGCTTGGTTTAGGAACTAGTATACGGGATTTATAAACTAATTTTCAATATAATAAATTACAATGTATTAAGGTTAAACCTAGCTATTTCAATAGCCGACACAACAGTCTCCGTTTTTGTCAAAATATTGTTCTTGCTTCTTCCAATGACCAACCACACGTGGTTATTATATAAAATATTATCTCACTATATATCTGATAAGAAGTAAAATTCGTTAACGCATAGATATAGATAATAAGTTAGGTTGCTAACTAGCTTATATTACGTGTGTTCGTTGGTGAAGCCGAAAAGCCGCCATTTTTTTTAAATACGAACTTTTTTTCAATACTTCGTGCACAAATTATTTTGTTATCAGAGCAAAAATGTTCTTGATAACATGAATATTTGTATACTTAATATAGAAAATATGTTCAAAAAAATGGCGGCTATTTGGCTTCAGTTGTTATCAGATATTTGCAAATTAGTTTATTCCTTATACCTATGACATAATATGATAGTAAATATAACCATGGATAGGGATGTTATATTGGAAGAATTATATTGATATTTTTACTCGCTATCAAATCGTATTTATAAATCAATTTTAGTAAAAATATCGAAAAAAAGTATCGATATTTACTTGTATTGATACCTATTAAAACATTTATTTTATTTATATACCCTAATCAGATGTAATACTGTTTGCATCTTATATAACATATATTGACAAGAAAAAGAAAACGTACCATTAAGGTAGATCATTAAAATATCTTTTCACCGCGTTTAAAATATATGACCCAAACGCTTACTTCAATTATGTTGAACGATAGGATTGCTGCCTACCCGATGAAAGCTCAAAAATCTAGTGTTAAATGGGATTTAGGTCCTATTTTAAATTACTTTTATATTTATCCACGAAAATTCTGGACGATAAATAAAGAATAGATATAATTATTAGGAAAACGACTTTGCCACGAACTGATAATGCTTCGACATTTTCATTTGACATTTGACAAAGTAGTAATTGTTTCGAACGTCCGTTACTCCGACTATTTAATAACATAGCTTACCATAACCACGACGAATTTTACTCCAACATCTAATAAGATATAAAACGTAGTATAAACTTCGACATTATCGATGATCAAACATTTTTTGTAATTTGTACACATATTGGCTTCGATGCGAAACTGAGAAGTAATTAATTTTACAATGATGAGTTTTTTTTTTGTATCTGTTACCACTTTTTTAGCTCTCACCGAATCGATTTCTTTTAACGATACGTCAAAAGATTACAAATCGTATCTAGTCGAAGACATTACCCTCAAAAATTGAAAAAATTTCCCTCGTTCTCCGTAAATGGGAGAATATCTCCAAAAAAATTACAATTATAAAAGTCACCAATTTACAACATTTTTTCAATTTTTTTTACTTAAAACTATCATAACTTTTTGAAAAAAAACCATATTAATATAATTTTTTTTTATAGATGCATGAGGTAAGCTTATGTAACATATATGTTACATAAGCTTTAATTTTTTGTGAAAAAGTTGTCGTTTTTAATCCCCCCTGTTGGCAGGTAAAGGGTCAGATTTATAAAAAAAATATAGAAAATGAAAGGTAATTTTTTTTTTCATATTAAAGCATATTTATTAATATGAAAAAAAAAATTCTGACTTTATTTTGATTCCATGGTGAAAACAAACATCAAAATTATTTTAAAAAATACAATTTTTATAAAAAATTCTTTTTTATATTTTTAACTTTATAATTCTACATTATATTTATACATTTTATTTTATGATAAATAATATTTATATAACTCTTTCAATCGACCCTCCATTTTTTTTAAATCAAATCATTTCCCTTTATACAAGGGGGGTTCAAAAGATAAAAACGCATTTCGTCGTGCAGTGGTCGGATATCAGTTATATTACCGACCAATTTGATTTGGTAAGTTATTAATCAATATTTCATTTATCTCGTGATTGTGATTACCACACATTTTACTTTTAATTTATCTCCATTATCATTAATTCTCACATAATTATATGAAGAACAGTCTTGTTGAATTATTCTAGAAAAACATACGTGGTACATTATTTAAAATTTTAAATAATATATAAAATTTATTACATTTAAAAAGAATGTTTGCTGACGATGATACTCTTTTATCTTGATATGATTTCTTTTTCTTGTTAATTCCTCTATGAATACAAAATAGTACTTCAATTCTTCTGGAGTCTTCACCAATCGCTTAGGGTATTTTTTTTGGTAACTTCTAAAAATATACATTCACTAATAAAAAAGTCTTTAAACTTGTTTTTTTTTTGTATACTAGTAACATTGCTCGACAAAAAAGAATGAAATATATGCGTCTCCCACTTGTAATGTCACATTTTATATGAATATAATAATACTCTATGTAAGAACACTTATTACTGTGTTCTTATTACTTATATTATACACGTTTTATTTCTATTTACTTGATTCGTAATATATATTAATTAGCATAGAGGGAGATGCTGATCTCACGTCTTTAGGCCGGAACTACTGACTTCGAACAAACGTTGTGTTTAAGTGGTCGTTGTAGAAATAGTTTTCGATGCTATCACTTTTGTTTTATTTATATTATTAATAACTTCACTTGTTTTATTCAACGACTCGTCTATCGTCAATTGGCATTATAGCCAATCAACTCCGTCTCACTTAGATATACCTTTTAACCAACTGTACTAGGATTCAGGTCAGACTTCTTGTATATTACATATAACTTATATTTACTGAACCTCTAAAATATAACTTGAATTTGTCATTGACGTAAAACAATAGTTTAACTTTATTTTATAACATCACTCTAGTAACTAAGGTAAACGATTGCCTGTGTCCCATTCAATTAATTAAAACTCATATAAGAAGATAGGGACAATATATGGGCAGACGTCGGATAGCTTCCGATTCTTGGTTTTGATCAAGAGCCTCAAATATTCAACGAACCCCAAATACCTGAATTAGTTCTTATTAATAATAGATAGAATAATTGAATCAATTACTTAAGAAATTCTTTTATTAAATAAATGTAAATATTTTACGCGGTTATAACGCTATTATTTTTAAAAATAGATACAATATTTATAAAGTCTTCGTGGACGCCCAGTTGTTATCACAGGGGTCGGTGATATAATAGACCTGATTGGCGCAGGATATAGACACAGCGTTTATATTATTGTAATATTCTGCTAGTTCTTTTATATCATTTAACGGTAATATTAACCCTTTTTAACACGCTTATATTAGTTTTACCTGTATGTTTGTTTGTAACTCTCCACGCGCTACGTGTTATAGATTCTCGCGTATCCCGTCGCCTGTGGCCTTGACACTAGACTGTCGTACGCATTCGTGCCACCTTTTCAGCCGTCGCCCTACTATGAGTATTTTTGTTTGACTGACCAATACCGCGTGCCATACGCAACGGTGCAAAGTACAGCAAGTTCAAACTCGACGAACCGATCCGCACTCGCGCCATCAACGTTGCTAACTTTTCGACGCCAGAGGATCATGTCGGACACCGTGTCGCCGACGCCAGCGAAAGTGCTGCGATATTGTGCGACGATTATTATTAACTGTATATGATATATTTTCGTACCTAAGTCGCTTTTCTATATATGTATATATATATATATACTAATTACTATTAAAATTTAAATATTTACACGCTTTATTTGCATAAGAGATATAAAGTGTATTCGTTCCGATTACGGGGCCTCAGATGAGTCCCGTATCGTCATTTTTCGACACTACCTCCACGTGCCGGGAGTGGGTAATTTGCACTCCTGCTACCTACCTTGAATGTGGTAGCCGTTTCTCAGACTCTCTCTCCTGAATTGAACCCTGTTCCTTGTTACCCGTTACAACCATGATATTGATAGTAACTACCATCATTAAGTCGACAAACCAGGGAAAAAATTCGATGGAACAGTACATGAAACTTTATGAAAACATGATCGAGTTCATAACGATTATAGTCATATTACATACGATAATATTTTAAAACATACATACCGTAGCTATTTATGTAAAAAAATATAGTTAAAAAAATACGCTTTCATAGCATATGAAACTAAAAAGTTAAAAATAATTTTTAGTTCCATGTGCTTTAAAAGCGTAATTTTTTTAAACTATATTTATTCTGTTTGACTATCGAAAACTTTGGTCTAGTATCAATCAACTAGGATTTTTGAAAAATGATTTTTCAATGAAACTCTTTACATATTTATAAAATAAAGTAAAAATTAATATTTAAATTAAAATTAAAAATTATGACCAAGTGTTAAAATAATTAGGGAGCTACTAATTTTAAGTTTTATGATTAATAAGTCGAATATGCATTCAATAATTTTCAATACACGTTTGTACATTGTTATTATGTTTAAACTATTTATCATTTATACTTCATTATTTTATGTTAGTTATTTTTTGATTAACCTCGTTGCCATTTATTCAATGTTCTCTTAAAACATGATATTAATGTAATATTGAAACATTATAATTTTTAATTTTAATATTTAATAGTACTATATTTTATAAATATCAATTTTAATTGTGGAGTGATTTTTTTACTTTATTATTATAAGAATCTCTTTTTTTTGCATTTAACCCAAATTTTTCATTATTTGAATCATGATGACAGCTAAATTATTTATTTTTCGTATAAAATTTATTGTAAGACCATAATCTTTAAATTTAATATCTCACCGTTTCATTAATTCTTTTATGCAACCCTCAACAGTTTTTCTAAAAAACTATACAAAGGTAGAATATATGTTGCATATTTTTGTTCATGACCATGGCTATTTTTACATTCATTTTTTGTAAATAGCCTTTTGTTAATTTGTAACATAATTTTATGTGATTAAATCCATCATATTCAACCAAATATTTTCAATAATCAAAGTTTACTATTCCGTCAGAGCTCTTAGTAAAAATTTTATAATGATAAAATAATGAAATTTTGTAATTTTTTACAGAAAAATTAAGAAAACTTCTTTTAATTTTTAATTTTAACTAAGTTGTTGGTGATTATCATTTTTAATTGTTAAATTATATATTTTATTAATAAATTAAGTAACCAAAATAAAACTTTAATGTATTTTGTTTTTAAGTACTCATGTCATTATTGTTTTTATTAAAATGCGATGTACTAATCAGTTTAATATACTAAAACACGACATTTTAGTGAAACTATTAGTGTAAAATTAAAAAAACGTATTTTTGAATGTTGGTATGTTAAAAAATATTAGTGTACTAAAGTTTTAGAAGAACTTTTTAAAGTTAGTATCTACCACACTTATCATGATTTTAGTATACTAATTTATATTATTTATTGTCTTATGAAAACTTATAACTTTGGTGTATTTAAAACGTTTCCAAACTAATTAATTAATACAAAAATGGAACTCCTTAATATGATTTATGTTCAAATCATAAGTAACTTAGAAATGATCGACGAAGGTCAAGATAATGGTCATTCAACAATGAAATTTCATTTAACGGAACATCCGTTCATTGATATGTTACAAAACTAATTACAATATGTAAATTTATCTATTAACATTAATAAAATGTTATATTCTTTAATTTGGTCTAAAATGGCATTTGTACAAACATTTAGACTAACAAAAGATCTTGCACTAAGTTTAATGACGTCAATATTTAGAACCCCATCAAGGAAGTCTGCACTAAGTACAGAGCGCAAAGTATGCAAAATATTATACTACTTAGACTAAATAGTAAATTAATAATTTAATAAAAATTTTACCATAATAGGTACTAACAGCTTTACGATTTAATATGTTTACTATTTTTAACAAATACGTAAAAATTAAACTTAGGTAAACAAAAGTATTTTAGCACAATGTATCTTACCTTGTGACTATTAATTAATACGTCTATAACGATTTCATAACCTAAAAAGGTTTACTAATGAATATGGAATTCCGGGGGTTATAGTAATGTTGATTACACTCATATTGCAAAAGTGCCGTCACAAGTAGATGTGCCTTGTCCGAAATACATTTATCTGAACAGGAAGAATTATCATTCGATAAATGTGCAATTAATAAAATAATTTGATGTTTTTCAATTTAATTATACTATTTCTGATATGTATTTTAATAATTCCTAGATATGCGATTCAACTATGTCTTTCCTCTTCAAGTTAGACAATCTGTGTTATAAATGAATATACATAATCTTCGAAAGTGTCATATACATGATGGCTTTTTCTAGTCTTAAGCAGGAGTCGGCTAGTAATTTTTAATTTGAAAGTATTCGCATAAAAAAGTAAAATATCCTTGTAGTATCAATTCTTTCAAGTGTGGTCCATTCCATGTATTTAAAGGTTTAACTATTGTACTTTAATTATATTTTTGTTGCCATAAAGACCATTTTCAGAGCGATAGTTACAGGTTCGTGGTTATAAACTTTTAAAGTAACTATACATTAAATATTATATACATTAAAATAAAAACAACCCTATTACGGCATGGGAAGAGGTTTTTTTAACGAGTTCAAATTTTTGCAGTATAAGTTTTCTATATCAAATAAAAAAAATGGGAGAGGGTGACATGATCAAATATCTGAAGTCGTGTTTTTTGAACCACATATGTGAATATTAATTATATATTCTATTTATAAATTTATATTGAATAATGCTGCCCCAAAAGCTGTAACTTGTTGTTTGGTGTAGTAAATATTCAATATCAGTGCTCGTACTACAATCGGTAATTAACTAGATATGGTATGATCTATACAAATTTTGAGATGAGCTATACATGTAATGCATTTAAATCTAGTAAATTTAAAAATGAAGACTTCATATTAGATGATTAATGTTAGTAAAGCATTCATTGTTACTTCAATTTTTCTTAAAGTAATTTATGTTTAACAAATTAAATTAAAATAATACTTATTACAACGTGGCTTCATTTATTTCAGAAGCAAACATACATACAACAAAACATTTTTCTTAATAAACAATAACAAATATCTCTTTTATACTTATTTAATGCTTAATATTAAATTATCACATAAAACAATTTCTTATTGTATATTTAAAAACATTATGATAAAAATTAAAAAAGCATAAATTTCTTTTCTAATTATTTTTTTAGCAGATGAAGTATCTAAAATAAAAATAAAATTGTTAAATTACCATAATTATTTTTGATTATTAAAAATATTACTTGAAGCTTGCTTTTTATTATATACTGGACAACTTTGGTAAGGAATTTTCAGTTTATTATTAATGGGATAATACCCAGGTATTTTTAATGATTGTGACTGCAACTGCCCTGTACTAAGAAGTTTGCTAAAATCGAATTCTAATTCATTAGCAATAGCTCCTAAAATTAAATAAACAAATATATTATTAATATAGAAAACAAGATAATTCAATTAGTTTGGCTATAAAAATTTCCTATCGATCTTAAACTTTTCTTAGTTTTCAATAATTCAACTAATTATTTGTATTGTTTTTGTAATAGTAGCTAGTGAGCAGACATGCAGTTGTTGGCACAGTGACATTGAGTTTTACTCATAAATATTATTATGTTTGTTTGATTTTTTTTTTTTAATTATATGTTTGCACTGTATTTTTATAACTTCTTATATTAAGTTTTTATTACTAATCATAATTACAAATTTATAAAACTATTGAATTATAAATACAACTGAATTCGATTTCGTATTATAAAGCGACTATAAGCTACATCAGTTCGGCCGCTAGAGATCTTACCCGGAGCGTTCGCTCCATAAACGATCTCGAGCAAACCTGTACCCCGGAGGAGGATATTCCGACCGTCGATTCGTCGTCGCAGACTGAACCTCAGGAGGATGGGGACAGCGACGACGATCCGGACACTGGAGCCACTATGCCGACGCCACCAAGTATTCCATTAAAGTATCCCATTTATTACGTTTTTGAAGTTGCGTTAGGTATCTTTTGACCACGAAGACCAAATTTGTTAAAGTAATTGACTAACTCTTCTCCACCAACTAAACCTATTTATAGCAATTAATACCAATACAATACGAGCAATATTAGATTTAACCATAATTGGACTACTATTATATATTCCACGAACTGAAGAAATACGACTATCTCTTTCCGCTAGTAAATTGGTCACAGTAAGTTTGGCTTGTATCGATAACATGTAATACAGTGATGAATAACATTTCTCACTGACCCACGACCGCCAATTATTCAATATTTAACGTTCAATGATGACAACATGGACCAGTATGAAGTAATCTAAAGTTTTCATAACAGTATTGCGACACGGATTGTGTTAGATTTCATTTAAATACTTAGTATATTTTAACCGACCACCTATACTAATTACACCACGGTCGTCCAGGAAAATGTTAAAACATTTCAGTTTACCTTTAACCGAAATTTATTTATGATTATGAAAATCTTTGATTTCTTTAATCCAATGTTCGTTTTGAGTTACAAATACTAACGAAATAGAGGCGTAATTTAATTTGTTATTTGTTAAGGAACCGACTATATCTATACCACGAAACAATTTTTCTTAATCTCATCTTTAAAATCTGGGCTTAAGTAACTTTATAATTGATAAAGTGGAGATTTTTTCAATTTATTATTACCTTCTCAGCTTCGCATAGGAGCTAAAAAATGAATCATTGTTGTTCGTGACCATTGTTGTGGTACAAGTATACTCCTTTTTAAAAATATTATCTTTCATAAAAGTAGAAAAATTATTTGATCGGATATTAATTAATGTAGTAGATTCTATAAATTCCAAAATTTTAATTTGTGTATCGAAAATATCTATTAATATAGAAGCTGCCGAAGGTACAATAGTTTTGAGCACTTCAGTTTCTTATCCCTTTAAGGTCTTCGGATCAAGCTTCGATGCTATCAAATGAACTAATAACGAACGTCATAACTTAGGGACTTGACCAAGGGCTTCTAATGTATTTATATGACTTATAAATTATCAATTAAACATTTTAATTTAAAATACGATTCTTTATTATCAGTGGATATCAAAAATAGCCTTTGTATGGGCTTAAACTAGTATCTTTTATTATTGTACTTTTAGTGAAGATCTGGCTAAATTATATATTTTTATCACTTTTGTTTATTTTTTAAATGGAAATTGATATATGGTAATGAATAGTGGTAAGAAAAGTTTAACTTCAGAACTTATTTTGTCCACTGCAGTATTAAGTTTTTTACTATTAAAAAAAATTAAATTTTAAAATTAAAATATTTAAAAAAAAAAAAAACAAATTTATAAAAATGCTAAATTTAGTGCCAATAACTACTTATTGTAGTGTCAATAACTTAGATGATAGTGCCAACAACTACCTTTTTTATATAGATCTGAATATTACTATCGATAAGTAATAATAGATTTAATGTATGTCAATTTTGTTTTATTTTTTGCTAGCTAAGACACTCAGCCTACTTAGATTCACTATATCATAAATAAAAAAAAACAAATGTTTTTTTTTGGTTCTTCTTAGTTTTTTTAGGTCTAGTTTTGCCTATATTAAATGTTATCTTAATTTATGTGGCTTATTATGTCTGGATTGGGGTCAATATATAATTTATTTTAGTAAGGACGTAATTTTTTTTTATTAATTATATAAGCCATAGCTTGTAGTAAAATGAGGTGAAACTTTACCTTTAAAATGAACTAAATACTGAATACATGCTCCATTATGTAATATTTTTGTTTTTCTACTATCCACTGTTAACATCCAATCAGGAACACCCATAACGTTTCGAACAGATTCAAAAAAATTTGATGTTTCAAATTTAGTGGTTCTTCTTATATTAACATATTTTATGATATCTTTATCGTATTCAATATTGGCACAAGCTAACTTTTCATAACCATTTTTAGAAAATATGACAATTGATCTACCGATAGCAGAAATATCACCTTCTAAAAGTAGATCAATGCGTTAATAAAATGTAATACTTTTTCTCTTTAAATAATAAGATAATATTTATACTTAAAAAATGTATATTCTTACCTAACGGTAAATTTGGATCAGAAAAAACCATTGAATATGATCCTATATCTATAGTTCCTAAACGTCCTGATATGTCTCCTACATAGCATCGTAGAGGCTGATCAGGCCCACACTCTTCTTCATACAATTTGTTCTATTTCAAAATAATTCAAATAAATATTATTTATGATGTTTAATTTAGAACCAAACTCGGAATAATTAGTGTAGTTCAAAAATTCTCCCAATCCAAAAACGGAATTTAATTTACTGGGGCTACAAATCTCTTTAGGGTCTGAATCTTATGCAAACTAAATTAAAAAAAACTAAATCGTATATTTATTAAACCACTAGTTTTATATTGTTTTTAATCATAGTCAGATTTTAATTAATAACAGTTTTAACTCTGTTAAGTGTATATTTTAGTGACTTTTTTTATTTATAAATTACTATATTTTGTAGTAATTTTTATTCAAAAATTTATGTAATCAAGTAAAAATTTGAACTCACATTTAATGGATCTGCTAATTGAGTGTAGTATGGATTCCAAATATATCCAGCTGCTGTACAACGTGTTCCTAAATCTTTCACTGTAGCATCTATACCAACTGGATTTACATATATAGACCATTTGTGACCTTTTGTCTGATATATAAGAAATAAAATTTATATCTATATATATATATATCTACCATGGAAAACTCACAAAGTCCAAAAAGGGGTTATTATAAAAAAATGTATTATTACTATAATATATCCGTACTTAACTTCTTTGTATAAATAAAATTAAAGTTAATCAATGAATAAAGTTTAATAAAAATATTAGATACTCCAAGGAAACATAAAATTGCATAACTTTTATTGTTTTTAAAAATTATCATCTTCTTTTTATTAAATTTACGATTTGTACAAATTTTTATAATATGTAAATAATTTTACGATGAATAATTAACTTCAGAGGTCTTGGGCACGACCTCTCAAGTAGTCTGATTTAGACCTACTGATTCAATTTGATTTTAGTAATGTAAAAATGAAAAAGAAAAGAAATTAATTAATTAATGTACATGAAATTTTGGCACTATTTTTGTTTGAGGCGTCTGACTGGATTATCAGGTAAGTTATTAGAAGCTAATTGTTGAATGAGTTATTTGCAGTTAGAATTTAATTTCGTACAAAATCGCATATAGTATAAAGTTGCTATAGTATCAATTAAATTTATGTTGAGATCAGACTGTAGTGACATATTTGAAACAAACCAAGGCACACCAGTTATGACTCACAGACAGATATTTTGGAAAGCATGTATTGTTCTCTTATTAGAGTCCTTTGCTGAACCCCAAATGACCATACTATATGACCAGAGAGGTTATTTGAGTGAAACCAGATATTTGAGCATTATTAGATATTTAGAGAGATATATAAGCAAAATAATGATCTTAATAAGTGAAGTATACCGTTTAGTTTATTTTATAAATGGGGATCTCAAGATGATCTTTTATCAATAATTAATCCTAGATATTTTACATCAGTTCAATGATGAATAATGGTGTTATTAACTGTGGACAGTCATAATTTCCTGAGAGTGAATATAAAAAGAGAGGATTTTGATTCATTTATTTTTTTCGTCACATATTGAACCCGAGAGAGAGCATTTAAATTTTGTAGACTAGTAATTTGATAATCTGTTGAGAAAGATATTAGCGTTTTGTCATCAGAATATATGCTAAGAACTGTTGTTTCTAATACTTACAATCAAATGTATATATTCTGTATAAGAATAGTAAAATATCGCTACTTTGAAGTACATCAGCATAGATTCGGTACTGTAGAATGGTGAAGATTTTGTTGAACATTAAAAAAGTGGCTTTCAAGGTATGATTTCAGCATAAGATAATATGGATGCTTTTTAACTTGGACAGAAGTTCTTCATACCACACAGAATTGAAAGTTTTTGCCACATCAAGGAAAACTCCAATACAGTATTGCTTATAAGGGTGGCCGATCTCAAGTTGTTGGGATTAAGGCGAGGAAAAAGAAGAAGACTAGGAGCATAACCAATCTCATAGGAAGATATCTTACTAGTTGTTTATTGGTAATTGGGTCATTTTCAGGCGATTTTCCATTAGCAAGTTTTTTATAATAGTATAAAATTCATTAGTTATAAGTATAAGGGTAATGGTAATTAAACAAATTCCATTACTGTCTCAATATATTGTGCTGGTAGAAAAATAGAGTAGGGTTGAATACATTAGATAATTCTATGGCCAAAGTATCAGCTTAATCTTGATCTGTTATAGCTGGTGTATTATTAAGATAACTGAGGGGCGAAGTTAACTCTTTTATCCAAAGAATCAATTTTTTTTTTGCCATAAAGATCAATTTCTTAGAAAAAGATTTTGAAGGCGAGTTTTATAAGAATTATTTTTATGATTCTTAAATTAAAATTTGAGTTTATTGGATAAAAATTTTATTGCTTTTTGTCATCTGGGTAACGAGTATGTTGCCATGTAAACTAAGCTCTACGTTTCTTGGCTATTAGTTGTTTCAACTCAGAAGGTAAGTTTAATGTTCATTTTTTTGTAGAGAGGAGACGAATACTCTTTAACTGCTTTTTAAATATTTGATGTAATAGTAGGTTTGAGAATTTTACTGTCTATGATTCATTGTCAGAAATGGATTTTAGTTTGACATTTAATGAAGTTTTTTTTTTTTTGGAAGTATGTCTCTTAACATACATCATTTAATTTTACCTTGATAAACACGTTATAGAATTAGTGTGATCAAAAGCTAGATCGCTAAGATAGGTAATTTCAATTAAAAAACAATTTACTATGTATCAAGGCAGTTATCATATGATTGCCAAGTATATGTAGGTGAATTAGCCGTAATTGTATTAATATTATTTAGTATAATAAAGTTGCAGGTAGAGCATCCCCTAGTATTAGTGAAGTGACTCCAGGTTTGGCGCTTAGTATTAAAATTTGCACCTATTATAAAACTGTGGCTAAGAGATTGTAATTGAAGTGTCAGATCAGTAATAGGATACTGAATTTATTTTAATTGATGAACTTGCTTACTGAAGATTGTGCTTCTGTAAGGTAAATTAGTTGAATGGTTAATTATACTAGATATTAAAAGAGCAGCTCTTGTACAATTTTAAAAAGCTTTTCAAAAAAACCATTTTTAGACTTAATGAGTTTTGTATGAATGGAGATAATATAATGCATATTACAATATAATAATGGTTGTTTATAAAGTTTACCATATTTCTGTTATAAGGTCCAGGATAATGTAAGTTAACTTCTATAACTGTATCACTTTTACTTCCATCATTGTAAATCAATTGAGTCTAAATAAAGTTTTATTAAAAGAATGAACTTAAATAAATTATTTCAATAAAGACTAGAAGTTAAATTTAATAAAATTAAAAAAATGTAATAAAACTTTTAGACATACCATTCGAATATAACCTCTTAGAAATCCATTTGGATTATGAAATGATGCCATTGCTCGAATTTCTCGAGCTTCTATAGGAGAGTACCCTCTTTCAATAGAAGAACACATTAATCTATTTTTCAAATTTAGTTCATATAATTAAATACATAACCTAATGAATTAACACATGAATACTAAATGATTAGTATAGTCTAAACAAACCTCTTCTTTGGTGGTATACCATGAATAACAACAGATCGACCTAAAAACACCAATTGGCCAAAAAGTTGAGTATGACTGTCATTACCAATAAGTGAAATTGTCCTTTCTCCTTGGATAGAGCCAAATCTTGTACTCCAGTCTCCATATCGTAAATGATTAAAAAATTTACTATCCCAAGGATCCCAAACTTCATGTAAATTTGAACTTTCACATGGTAAATCTAATCCACCATCAACTGGGTTCTTCGTGAATATAAAAATAATAATTAACTATTAGATAAAAGCAATATGTGTCAGTTCAAAATAGATCTAATGAGAGCTGTGATATTTTATGGTCAGACAAAAAATGTACAGCATCACAAGAACAATAAAAAGAATTGGTCTTGTGATGCTAAGCGTTATTTTAGTTTTGCATTAAAACTAAAAAAAACAATCAAAAAGTTAAAAAATCTACTCAATTAAGCGTAATATAAAATTTTTTATTAATTGTAAAAATCTATTGTTAAATTCAGATGAAACCCAGTCATTTTTTTAGAAATAATTTATAGAGTAACATGTTACTAAAAGATTTGGAATATTATAGACTGGTAGCAGAACACACAAATAAAGTTAAAAAATTAAAAATTAACAAAGTCGAATGATTTACTATGTAGTTGAATAATTTTATAATAGGTTTATGTCATTTTATGACATTAATTCAACAATATACATTTTAAAAACATTATAAATTAATCATTTTTATTGTTTATATGGAGAAAGTTGGTTAAACAATCTTTTATTTGATAAAGGGAATATTTTTAAAATTTTTACGGATAATATCTTTAAAAAGATACTAATTGTGATCATTTAATATATTGTTAAAAATAATTGGTCAAGTGATAGCTGAGAAAAATGAATTACAGACACAAAAAAAACCACATAGAAAAATAATTTTAATATAAGTAAGAAATTCCTTCACACAAAGGTAAACACAGTGATTTGTGATCATTCGACGTATTGTTGAAAAAAATAGATTCAATGAGAGCTAAAAAAAAAAATAGTGACAGATACAAAAAAAAAAAGAAACCCAGCACAGGGGGGTCGTGCTACAGTGGTGACGTGGCATAATTGGATCTAGTATAATGATATTTGACAGTGATTAAAATTACTATCATAAAAAGCTCTTCAATGCAAATCTTTAGATAGTATTTAATTTTTAAAAATTGATGGATTATTCCAAAAGCTACATGATCTGCTATTTCCTTATTTATATCCTAATTAAGATAAAGTATGTCAAATGAAAGAGGGATATAAATATTATTTCTCATAGAAGAATTGTATTGATCCATACACTTTTCAATAAGTTATAGCATAATAAAGTTAAAAATGTAAAATACAAAATCGAGAATTTTTACACAAAAATAGCATTTGGTAGTCATTTTCATCACAAAAACAAGTCCAAAAGACAAATTTTTTTTTCCATAATAAAGTGCATTACATTAGCTTTAATTTAAGATATATCTTAAGATATAAAAACTAAAGATCTAAAGTAAGATATAAAAGTGTCAGACTTTCCAGAACACTTACAAAAGTTAAGTTTAAAAAGTTATCATTTTGAATCCCCCCCGTGGGCAGGTAAAGGGTCAGATTTACAAAAAGAATATACCAAATGAAAGGTAAAGACATCATACATCTATAAAAAAAAAAAATTATATTGATTTGGTTTTTTTTTAAAAAGTTATGGCAGTTTTAAGTAAAAAATATTGAAAAACTGTCAAAAATTAGCGATTTTTAAATTTGTAATTTTTTTGGAGATTTCCCCCATTTACGGGAAATGAGGGAAATTTTTTAATTTTTGAAGGTAATGTCTTCATTACAGACACAAAAAAAAAAACATAGTAAAACGAATATCTTTTCAGCTTCGCATCGAAGCTAAAAAACAGTAGCATAGTAGGGTCGTGGTACAGTGTAAGCTTGGCATAGTTATGACAAGTATAGATGATATCTGAACATTTTCAAAAGTTAAATTTAAAAAATTTAAGAAATGTCGAAATTTATAGATTTTAAAATTATAATTTTTTGGGTGATTTACATCATTTATGGGGAACGAAGGAAATTTTTTAGGTTAATGTTGTTAACTAGATACAATTTGTGTTTTTTTCACGTATCAAAGAGAAAAATTGGTCCAGTGAGACCTGAGAAAAAGTAGCGACAGACACAAAATAAAAAATAAACACATCATGGTAAAATTAATACCTTCTTAGTTTTCCATCAAGCTAAAATGTTAAATCAATTATGACTATAAATTGTGCCAGCATTCTATTCTATAAAAAATATTAAATGATGATTGTAAAACCATATATCTTATTAAAATTATAATATTTGTATTATATCACTGAAATTGGGCGAGTTAAATGTATTAAATTAGTATATAGTTGATAAAATTTGTATAGATTAAATGTATATTAGGAATATTTTCAAATATACCCATATTTTATTTTAAAATCATATTTAAAATTCATTGCATAGGTTATTTTCAGAATTATTATTACTGTTAGTATTATTGTCTGATATAAATAAACTAATTTATCATTGAAGATGAACTATGGAATTATTTAAAAACAACAACACAAAACTAAGTGCATGGATATATCTGAAAATGATCTTAGTATATTAGGCTATTTTGAATACATTAATCATTTGTATTGGCTTAGAATTAGAATAACAAATAAAATAATAAGAATTACCGAATAAACATAGTAATTGTAAGCACCTTGAAGTCCTTGTAAGTTTATTTCAAAATCAACTGGATCATATTCAGAGAGCTGAAAAAGCTCAATATTTCCAGTTATAGAATTTTTTTCAAAATTACTATACCAATCTTTTACAACTGCTTTTCTATGCCAAACTTTTTCTATCCTATTAAAATAAATAAAATTATTAGATTATAGTATTTTAAGAAAATTAGAATTAAATAAAATAAGTATGACTATTGGGTTTCTTCCTTTTATTTTATAGAATAAACTATAATTTTTTGATCTAGGAAAAATGGCCTTAAATAAATTTCTATAATTTTTTTTAAAAAATCACTTATAACATTTGAAAATATATTTGTATTATTTGAAGATTTTTTTATGTTATTAATTACTTAAATAGTACCAATATCAGAAATTGCTGTCTTGATCAAAATATGTGATAAAATGGAAACTACAATATTTCAATAATAAATATTGAAAAAACTGTTTAAGCCTTTATTTCTTGAGAACAAAAATATATATTTTTAATAAATAATAATGAACATAGTATTCAAAACAGTTCAGTAACTAAAAAATTTAGAATTAGTTAATAATATTTAGGAATAATCAATACACCAATGTTGTATTATTAGTACACTGATAAATCACTTTGTTTTGATATCAAATTTTTATGTATAGTGAAAAGCCATACTATTTACAATATAATAACTAATAATTTGAGAATAATATGTAACTAAAATATCCAAAAAGTTTTAATAAAAATATTGAGCAAATATTTTTATTCTGTAAATAATTGAGTGGATTATGATAAACGGAACACTGTGTATATAATTTTTTACTAACATATTAACACTGATTTAATTAATAATAAATAAGCTGCATCAAAACATAATACATAAGATAGAACTCTAACACCAATATATAAATATATATTTATATATACAAGGTATATTTAATATTATTCATGCATCCATTGAAAAATTGTATTAAATTAAAGTTTTATTTTGTAGTTACAAAATTTCAGAGAAAAATGATATTACAGTTATAAATGTATAATTTATTTATTAATAAATAAATAATATATATTTTAAGTGAGATCAAAACTATCTCAAAAATTTAAACCAACCACCAAAAAGTTATGTGATTAAAAAAATTACTTAGAACATGCTAAACGATCCCCTCGGGCTCGTGGCCCATGATCATCATATATGACAAGTGATTTGCCAATAATAGAATGTAATCCAAACAATGATAAATATTCATCCACAAACATTTGTCTACCTATTGAGCTTAGTTTTTTATTGCCTGCAATAGCTAAGTTATCTAAACGAGATGATATATCTCCAACACTACAATATTTAAGAAATTTACTGCATTGAGAAGTCATATTATTTTTCACAACCTGAGTTTGAAATTGGTATTATGTTAACCAATGTATTTTTTTTTTAAATAAATAATTTGTACAACCTTATGAGGATCATATATTGTTCCAGAACTTTTACATCTATCTTTCCAACTATAAAAATCTTTATCAGGAGCTTGAGAGTTAATAGACCATCTATGCTGATTAGTATTCACAAGTGTAGTACCATCTGCATGAACTAAGCCTTCAATTATTACAATAGTTTCCGTAGCACCAATGTCAAGAGGCTGTCTAAATAAAATTTTTCCAACTAAAGGATATCTAAATACTACCTCAGCTGTTAAAAAAGGTACTTTGATTTGAGATTTAGGTCCAGAAAATGGCAACAATGTGTTACAAGTCCATATAGTATTATTCCTTAAAATAACAATTTAGTCAATATTTTTAATATAAAAATAGATAAAAAAACAAAATATTTACTTGTATATAACTAAGGATCTATGAATAATACTGTTTGTACCATATAATGGTAAAAATAAATCCCAGCTGTAGTTTTCAAAATTATATTTGTTACTCAAGTCGCCAATAGCATAATTATCCTGAGTTTTTTTATCAATAGGCCCAGGAAATACTTTATTACTAGGATTAAAAATATTACCTATTCCTAAACAATCAATATTTTGTTCTAATGACATTTTATACATTTTTGGTAAAGGAGGCATTTCATGTAATCTAAAAGTGACAGTAGTTTGATTAGTTTCAATATTATTCTTAACATTTGTTGCTTCAAATGGAGATTTTTGCCAAAGAATTAATTCAACTTTAACATCAGTTTCATTTATTAGTCCTCTAAAATAAAACAAATAAAAATGTAAGATGTTTTATTAAATTTATGGATATTTTTGAATATAAAAATTATTTTTAATTACCTAAAATTACCTCAATTACTTAAAAAACCCAGTACAGTTAGAACCTAGCATAATGAGAAAAGGATAAAATTGAAATCAGTATACAATTATTCCTGTACTTTAAGCTTTATTTAGTAAATACAATTACATAAAGAATATTTTGTCATTTAAATTGGAAAATGTAACCAAAAGTTATTTTTACTTCTTCTTCTTTTTCCTCTATTATATCCCAATTATTTGGGGTCAGCCACCCTTATCTTATAACTCCAACTTGACACTATCACCCACTTCAGCTATCCTCATATCTTCCCTCAACATTCAATTCCATAACTGTTATTACAGCTTTCAATTCCCCTCTTTTCATAACATAAACAAATCATCTAAGTCTATTTTCTCTCATCTTATCCACGATTGACACTACACCTATACTCCCCTTATATTCAATTCTATCCTATCTTCTCTAGTCACTTAACTCATCCATTTCAGCATTCTCATCTCTGCTCTATTCTCTTGTCAACCATTCAACACTGAACTATACATCATAGCTGATCTCACTACAGTTTTATAGAACTTACCTTTCTGCCCCATTAGAATTCTCTTATTGTGTAACACACCACACGCTTCTCTCCTTCTATTACTCTTCCTGTGTTTTTTACCTTGGTACAAGTAATATATTCTATTATATTAATGTATCTATTCGGTACTCCTTTTGTCATTAATGCCTATTTTAAGACCTCTCTCGATACTTTATCATACGTTGTCTCCAAATCTATAAATATCATACACAGTGTTTTCTTCTTTTCTCTATACTTTTCTATTAAATGTCTCACAAAAAATAATGACACTATTATTGACTTACCAGGCATAAATCCAAACTAATTTTTGGATACCGATGTCTCATTTCTTATTCTCTTATTTATTACCTTTTCTCAAATTTTCATACTATGACTCATAAACTTTATGTCTGTATAATAATCAAAACGTTTTTTATTACTGAAGTTGACAATATCTCATTGAAGACATACTCAGAAAGTTTATTTTCATAATAAACATTTATTCTAAAAGCTATAATTTGATATAAGTTTAAAAGATGCAGTTTTTTCAGAATATTTTTAAAAATTGAAATGAAAAAAATTATTAACACATTTTTTATTAAATTTAAATTCTCTTTATACTCTGATTTTTTATTGGATATACAAAAATATATATTGTTTAATCTATGAATTTGTAAAATAAAAAATAAAATTATAAAGTACAGTTTGCATTAAAGAAAAATGTATATGAAGTTGTATTCCTTGAGATCCCACAAGTCCCCCATACATTCTTCATGAATACTTAAAATAATTTAAGTTTTTAAAAAACACTGTTGTATTTACTTTAGTGTGATCGATTTTTTTAAATTAATTTGTGCACAATCCAATACATCATCACTACGATCACTGTCAAAAATGACTATGTATAATGCTCTACTCTCATACTCAATATCAAATGTCGACAGTTTGGGATCCCTAAATAAACTTTTTTTCCCAATGTTTAGTGAACCTATACGATTACCCAAATCACCAAGGCCATTTGAATCTGGATCATAAACAATTTGCAGAGCATCGCAGTTATGCCTTGATTTATCTGTTAAAAAAATAAAAATCATAGTTAAGATAACACTTTTACATTCTTTATATTTTTATGTGATTCTTACTAAGGAACAAATTTTTATGTATTTATAAATTTTGTTAAGTTATTTCAGAAACATTATTAGCCACTACTACAAGTTATTAATATTTATTAATTAGCTTAAAAACATAGTATTATGTTGTAACTAGAGATACAATTCGGGTAATCTAGGGTGTTTATTTTAATTTAAAATGAAAAATATTTCTGCGGTACTATATAGTGTGATTTAGTAATTACACTACCCTTCATTTTTCATTATATGTTTTTTCATAAAAATGTTGATTAAAATTTAATTAATTCCTATAAACCATTATATATATGAAATTTATTGTAAGAAAAAATTAAATCCTAAAAGTAAATTTTTCACTACTTTCCGCCAGATGAAATTAAGCAGAGTATAATACATACAACATACAGTAAATATTCGGACATCATCTAGAAAATTAATTTACCTTGAATTCCCATTGTCTTACAGACCTTGTAAAATTAACACCATTAAAATAATTTTTGAATGAATGATAAAACTATAAAATAATATATTAAAATATATTATGAAATATAGAATTGAGAAAAGCTAAAAAATGATATTTATTGATACAAAATTTTATTCTTAGATTAGGTTTTTATCATGGCATTTATGTTATTCCTATTTTTAACAAAACATGAACAAAGTCATGTATGAGGATATTAAAGAAAGAAATTTCAGAATTAGGAAAATATACAGCAACAACTGGTTGAAAATCAATCAGAAAAATAATATTCAATTCTTGAGCCTCAAAAGAAATAGTGATGTAGATGAAAATTTTTTATTCTGTAAAAGTTTAAATTTTATTTTTAAAAAGAAGAAAAATTGTTTTCATCTATGACAAAACAATTAAAAATATAANAGAAGAAAAATTGTTTTCATCTATGACAAAACAATTAAAAATATAAATAGCACTTATAATCTTTTATTATATTTATCATTTAAAAACAAAACACTGAAACATTAATACTATTATTCAATAAAGAACAACTTTATCCATTAAATATAACCAATATATAATGATACAATCTTGTAACAGATTTATTTTTTCATACAATATTAATATATCGCAAACAATTTTTTTTTCAATATTGCGATATAATATCGCTGAAATTCAGTACAATATTGATATCAAAAAATATATTATTGACGAACTCTAAGTTTTACCGTAATGTGTTTATTTAATATTTATTTTTGTGTCTGTCACTATTACCACTCTTATCCACCCATAAGCACTCTTAAAATAATAATTATGATTTATCAATTATATTAATATTTTAATTTCGATGGGAAACTACAAAGGTATTAATTTTACCATGATGTGTTTATTTTTTATTTTGTGTCTTTTTCTCAGCTCTCACTGGATGATTTTCTTAACGATAAGTCAAAATATCACAAATTGTATTTTGTTGACAACATTAACATCGAATTTTTTATCAAAAATTAAAAAAATTTCACTTGTTCCCCATGAATGATGTAAATCACCCAAAAAATTATGATTTTAAAATCTATAAATTTCGACATTTCTTAAATTTTTTAAACTAAACTTTTGAAAATGTTCCGAAAATACTTTATATACATCTTTACTTAAAGCTTATATAATATCCTTTATTTTGAAAAACAAAATTGATTTGTGGATTTTCCTTTGTGATAAAAACGAACAATGTTTAAAAAAAGTATGATTTTTGTGTAAAAATTAGAAAATTAAAATTTTTTTTAATAAATTGTTGTACGAAAAATTATTTGAAAGTGTTTTTAAGGAATTAGTTTAAACTACATTGACATATTACAAAAAATAGGCTGGAAGAGCGAAAATATTTATTTTAGCTTATATAACTTTAAAAAATATTTTTGAAAATAATAGTTTTAACTATTTACCCCAATTTTACCAGAACACGTAAAATTTAATATTGTTATTTGTTAGTTTTCTGGCTAAATACTTAACTATTTTTGTAAGAAAATTTTAAATAGAATATAGTAAGATCTATAATTTTTTTCTAATATATTTTTCTATAAATATCACAATTTTTAAGATTAACAATAAAAACTTAAATTCTTATTATTGAATTTGTAACCTTCTTGCAGCACCTGTTAACATTAACTAATCAGGACAAAATTTTGCACAATTCATTTGTGTATGTATTATTACTACTTAAAGGAGGAAGGAGAAAGTCAGATTTCAATACTTTGCTCTTTACAGGATCACCCTAAGCAGTATATATATGACTTGGGATTCCAAAAGTATGCAATTATGAATGGTAATTATTATAAATAGTAATCTACTTTCAAGTTTGAAACAAATTGTAGTTATTAAACATTTACATATACTACCTCTCAATTTCTTAAAATATTTTATTTTTGAGATTTCTAACTGGCTTCCAAAAACATTTATAGTTTTTCTAGATTATGGTACATATGAGTATTTTAAACAAAAATGAATACTCTCTATTTAAAATGTTTATATAAGCTTTAGATATATGTGAATAATTTTGGAACGTTCCTATTGTTACCTTAAGTTTTCTCATTGTTGTAAGAATGGCAGTCCCTTCTGTTGCCCCCGCTTCATCCACCAATGGTGTATTAAATTGATTTTATTGATTACTTAATGTAATTAAATATTAAAAAACCCAGCAAAGGGGGGTCGCGGCACAGTGGTGACGTGGTATAGATGGATCAAGTATAATGATATCTGACAGTGATTAAAATCACTATCAAAAAAAAACGCTTCGATGCAAATATTTAGATAGTGTTTAATTTTAAAAAATTGGTGGATTATTCCAAAAGCTACATGATCTGCTAGTTCATTATTAATATCCTAATTAAGATAAAGTATGTCGAATGAAAAAGGGATTATTAAAAAATATTATTTCTCATAAAAAAATAATGTTGATCCATACACTTTTCAATATGTCATAGCATTATAAAGTTANCTAAAAAAATTATGTTTATCCATACACTTTTCAATATGTCATAGCATTATAAAGTTAAAAATGTAAAAAATAAAATCGAGAATTTTCACACAATAATAGCATTCGGTAGCCATTTTCACCGTGAAGATAAAATAAAGTCCGAAATTTTTTTTTTGCATAATAAAGTATATTACATTAGCTTTAATTTAAGATATATATAAAAGTGTCAGACCTTCTGGAACACTTTCAAAATTTAAGTTGAAAAAGTAAATTTTTTGTGAAAAAGTGGTCATTTTAAATCCCCCCCTGTGGGCAGGTAAAGGGTCAGATATAAAAAAAATATATACCAAATGATAGGTAAAGACATCATGCATCTATAAAAAAAAAATTATATTGATCCATACATCTTTCAAAAAGTTATAGCATTATAAAGTTAAAAATATAAAAATGAATTTTTTTACAAAAATCGTATTTTTTTTATAAACTTTGATGTCTGTTTTCACCATGAAGATAAAATAAAGTCCGAAATTTTATTTTTGCATAATAAAGTATATTACATTAGCTTTAATTTAAGATATATATAAAAGTGTCAGACTTTCCGGAACACTTTCAAAATTTAAGTTAAAAAAGTAAATTTATTGTGAAAAGTTGTCATTTTAAATCCCCCCCTGTGGGTAGGTAAAGGGTCAGATATAAAAAAAATATATACCAAATGATAGGTAAAGACATCATGCATCTATAAAAAAAAAATTATATTGATCCATACATCTTTCAAAAAGTTATAGCATTATAAAGTTAAAAATATAAAAATGAATTTTTTTACAAAAATCGTATTTTTTT